CAGTTAGGGCACATCACACGTGCCTAGCAATGACAGCTAGGCATGTTGTAATGGTTGGTGATAAATTATCTTTGTGGACGTTTGGTTTTAATTTGGCATTTGGCTAAAGATGGGAGCAATCTTGCCCAAATTTACAAGGCAGGTCAGATTCCTGAAGTGTTCCTTTTGTCATTGAAACACCCCATTCCCTAAATACTAGGCCCTCACCTTGTCCCTTTCCCATCCCTTCCTGCAGCCCCCATCTGCTCTCTCCTGGTGTTATTTTTTTATTTTCTTGTAATGCCTTGGTCACATCTGTGTGACTTCATCGTCCTTTGCAGAAGGGAAAGGCAGCAACAGTTGAGTTAGCTACTAGTGTGAGTCTCTGAGATGTAGTATCCTATGGTTTGCTGTCTGGTCCATCCTCCCCACAAACCTGGATTGGAAAGGCAATAAAAGCTATCAGGACCTGGAAGAGAGGGGCCTAATGTCTTGCTTTCCAAGTTTGTTGTTGTTGTTGTTAAATTTGTTGTTGTTGCTGTTAAGTGCCATCAAGTTGTTTTTGACTCATAGCAACCAGTTTAGGGTTTATGAGGAGTGGCTGGTGAGTTTGAACTTGTGGTCCAGTGCTTATACTTCAGTGCCACACCAGGATTCCAAATTTAGCCAGGGAAATAACAGGTCTTCACCAGAAGTCTCCAAACATGACACCGAGGTGGCAAAGTCAAGATGACTACATGAGGCCCAGCCCAGCAGACTTGCTCACTGATTTCCATGTCCACATTGTGCCCAATTTACAACATGCTCAGGTTACAATAAGCTGCGTTTATGACAGTGCTGTTTTGGTGGGGCTGTATATCTTATTGATAATAATTTGTACTACGTATGGTTGTTGTTGTTATTAAGTGCGATTGAGTCAGCTAACTCATAGCGACTCTGTAGATGGTTTTGGAGGAATGGTTGGTAACGGGCTTCAAAAAATGAAATGAAAAAGTAATGGAATTTTTCATAAACTTCAAAAACGGAATTAAAAAATAATGGAATTTTTCATAAACTTTTAATGTTGCAGCATGTAATTTGCTGATGTTATTCTTCTCAGATGTTCATGCACAGATGTTCAATGTGATGATTTATTGTTTAAAAACTGCCAGAGAGCAGACAAGGGCTGGCCTGCAGTGAAGCCTATGTCAATGTCAGGACTTATGATGAAAACAATTGAACGATGTTCAGTCCTTACAACATCACAATGGAACTGCACACACGCCTGACAGCCTTGCTACTCTGCCTTCATTGTTACAACACTGACTGCCAGCTTCATTTTAATATTCTTCAGAGTATCCAGAACATTGTATCTTCCTGGGATGAAGTTATGGGAAAATACATCCAAGGGACTTGGGGAAAATTGCTGAGTATGTGAACATACTCCAAATATTTGATCAAGATAATATGATCGAAGAGATGACTGGGGAAATCGTCCATCTGGCAACAATGCTAAATTCAGAACTTGACACCACCCATGGGAGAAAAAGCTCATAGATCACGAGAAAGGCGAAATGACAGATCAGGACTAAACGAAATTTGACGAGAAAAGAAGCCCTGAAGAAGAAAGAAACAATGAGTAAGAGTTAAGAAAGAAGTTGTCAAAAATCTTACTGGGAAAGGATGCTTACCGTTGCTGCGATGTGCCGTCGAGTCGGTTCCAGTTCATAGTGACCCTGTATACAGTTTCTGAGGAGAAGCTGGTGGGTTTGAACTTCAGACCTTGCAGTTAGCAGTTCAGTGCCTATCCCACAGTGACTAACTGACATTTTTTCTAAACTAAATCAGGGTCTTCTGTTGCTTAAAAACATGGACCCAAACATTAATCACTTTGCTAAAATTGATAGGCAGACTGGGGTAGCAGTGAGATGTTAGGAAGAAAAATATAAAGTATTTCCTACTAGAAATATTGTCCCCATTCTAGGAACAATCCAGATAACCCAGAACCTTCCACAAGGGGAGTTACTACTGCAACTGGAAAAGTGCTAACATTGGGCAACTCTGAGTCAACTTTTATAATTTGTGGGGAGTAGGATAAACACTGGACTGCAAATTCACTTTGAACCACAAGGCTGGTTATGCAAACTCACCAACTGCTCCTCAGAAACTGGATACAGGGTAACTATGACTCGGACCCAACTCAACAGCACTCCACAACAACAGCAGATTTTATGTATGTCTGTATTAAAATTTATTTGTCAGTTTATATGCAATGTTTTCAGCCCTTAAAGACAGATAAAGACTGGATTTATAAAAATATTGATAATAAAAGGCAACAATAGTGACAAATTTTAAAAAGAGTTATGGGTAGTCTCTATTGTCAGTCAGTTCTAGCATAAGCTGAATGCAGGCCTATAATAATAAGGAAAACTATAAACAAAAATGGGCAGCATTCAACTTCCGTCAGAGCCAATTTAGGACAGAGGCCTCAGAATGGAACCCTGTTGTAAGTCATAGACAACCTATATATAATGTAGGGAAGGGAGTTAGATGTTCCTGAGAACAGACTAAGAGTGATAGCACCAGATTGTTGTTGTTGTTAAGTGCCGTCGAGTCAGTTCTGACCCATAGCGACCCTGTATAGGGTTTCCAAGGAGCAGTTGGTGAGCTTGCAGTTCAAATGGCTTTGTAGTCCGACGCATTAATCCACAGCGCCACACCAGGACTCCATTAGATTAGAATGGGCTTTATAGAGAGGACAAAATCTAAAGATTGTGGATTTGGTGATCAAAAGGTCCGGCAAAACTGCAGATATCATTAGCAAAGGCCTAACACGATGATAAAGATCAGACAAGTTGACACCAAATGACTGAGGACAAGCTCTGCTCCTCTTCTATCTACCTACACCTTGGCACTGATACAAGCTTCTTAGAACATCATTGCAACCCCAGGAAAAGGAGAGAATTAAAAACCATGAACAGACCAAAGAATCGTGAATTTAACTTAGATTCTTTATAAGACACTACTTGTTTATATTTTGTTAATGGACATAAATGGAAGCTTAAGACAGAAATAACGTATGATGAGAGGGGAGTGGAAGAATTCCTTCCTACCGAACAGGAGGCCATGGTTTGATTCCCCAATAGTGAACCTTAGGCACAGCCACCACTGGTCTGTCAATGTTGTGATGTTAACTGGATTTCAGTGGAACTTCTAGACTAAGACTAGGATGAAAGGTCTGGCCATCTACTTCACAAAATCGGTCAAGGAAAACCGCACAGATCACAACAGACGGATTCCATTGCGAATGAGATCATCATGCGTCAGGGTTCACTTCAAGGAGTCCTGGTGTGGCTCTGTGGGGTAAAGCTCTGGACCACAAAAGTTGGGTTGAGCCACAGTTTGGCAGTTCAAACTCACCAGCTGCTCCTTGGAAAGTCTATACAGACTGCTATGAGTCGAAACCGACTTCACAGCACTTGATAGTAACAACAACAAAGCCAACACAAGTATAAAAAATAATAACAGTAAGAAAATTTGTTTTTGTTTTGTTTCATTTTTGCCTCTAAGTTTGTGACTCTGAAGTTTTGTACCTACTAAATGACGGTGCCTAGTTATAATTAAGGAGCTCTGGTAGCATAGTGCTTATGAGTCAGGCTGCTAACCTCAAAGTCAGCAGTTCAACGCTACCAGAAGTTCCGTGGGAACATGATGAGGCTTGCTGATCCCATAAAGATTTACAGCCTTGGAAACCCTATACAGGGTCACTATAAGTCAGATCCGACGCCATAGCACATAACTACCTCCACCAGTTATAATTACATTGAATTCCCATTTTTTCACTCCACATTAATTGTTTTCCAGAATGAGACACATAGAATGCTGATCCCCTCAAAAGATGATACCCATAAAGAATGTTCCCGGGCCAAATCCATTTCAGAGTGGTTTAAAATGCACGCACATTTTGGATGTGTATTGTTGACTTACAAATTCTGAAGGAAGTCTTATAATAAAATGACTTATTTAACTTTAATCCAGTACTTAGCAATTTATATGAGGAGGAAATGTGGTTGTTTTTTTTTGTTTTTTTGGGTTTTTTTTGGCTTTTAGAAAACCAAAGAAAAAACCTGAGGTAGACTGTGTTTCACTTGAGGAAATACAGGTATGGAGAGTTGAAGGTGAGAATGGATGAGAATGGAATTACTGTAGTGACCCAAGAGACAAATCCTGAGGCAGGACAGGAGCCTAAGATTGATGGTAAAATGCAGAAAATATCATGACTGGGCATGGAAATGTTACTTGCCAAACGACCCCATAGATCTTGGAAATTGGCTGAATTTCTTCTAATCTACTTTCAAGGTCCTCGCTGAGTCACCCCCATAAATGATGGCTCTTAACGGTTCTGAATATCTCTAAAGCCTTCGTGTCTGACCAACTCCCTTTCTAACTTCGTGATTCACTCCAGAGACAGAGTGATAGGCCAACTTTCATAAAAAGACATCTCAAGACGAGTACAGCGTCATGATGGACTATTTTAAGGTCCAGACCTCTTGTCTGATATGTAACTGGCTAACTCTTTACAGGCGTTGAGGTGAGTCACCTTTTCCTGTCATTTCTAGACTGTGTTTTGAGGACCAAACTAATTTAGGGTAGATTTGCTATGAGTTAAGAAGCTATCTAAAGGCTTCAGGAAAGAAACATGGGCTTTTGAGTCTGAAAAAAATCTGGATTGAAATTCCAATTCTTCCATTTTCTGGCAGTGTGATCTTGAGAGTAAGACTTTTTCTACATTTTAGCTTCCTTGGTGAAAATGAGGATGATAATATGCATTCTCATTCAGGGTTGCTGTGAGGATCAACGGAATGATATTTGGGTAAGGCAAAATGCACGTAGAGCGTAGATAATGAAGTCTCTGCAATATATCTCTAAGGGGGAAGTCATCATTAAACTGAATTAGAAGTACCGCCAAGATATACAGGGGGTCATCTCCATGTCTACATCTATTACAAAGAAAGAAACAGTACCACAAAGGTTCTCTGTACCTGACCACTCGAGTCCGCTTTCGGGTATACGGAGAGATGACCTTGAAAAGCATTTCCATGGCTCCATTAATCCCCAGCATGGCTCCTGTAGTAACTGGGAAAGATGAAGGCACAGTAGTTATTGGGCCACCTGAACCAAGCTCTGTATTTAGTGACTGAGCTTAAAGGGCAGGCAAATTCATCACCTTTCTTGTTAAAGGCAACTTATAAGCAGGGAAGGAGTCCTGCTAAGGTGCTGTGGGCTAATGGGCTGGACTGCAAGGTCAGTTAGAACCACAAGGTCAGTGGTTCAAGCTCACCAGTTGAAACCCTATACAGGGTTGCTATGGTTTGGAACCGACGTGACAGCACTTTACAACAACAACAAAGCAGGGAACTGGTATGGTCTCTCCATCCCTGACTGTGAAGTGAAGGTCATCTGAAAGTCACAACAACACTCTACTATCTTCTCACAATGAGTCCAAGCTAGGAAAGATACATTTATTTTATTTTCTGATGGGCAATTGCATTTTTCTACTTTATTCTTAAATCAGAACAGGCAGGACAATTATTAAGCAGAATTATCTTTCTCTAAATAGATCTTTGAGTTCCTGGCAATGATTTCATTTCAAACTGTGTCTGTTTTGCTCAGCACCAATTTGCCATATGACACCTGTATGCAAGTACACACACACAAATACACATACACTGCCAGTATTTCACAAAAGACTTCCTTAGACATATCTTGCCATTTGGAAAATTTCACAGTGAAGAAGCCTTACAAGTGGCTAAGTTATTCAAGAAGGCAAGTTCTTTAATACAACTTGAATGAACTACTTAGACACTTTAAGGGGTAGTTTCATAAACAAGACCGTTCCCTTTTATTTTTCCAATCTGTTTCCAAGTTCCTCTACAACTTTTGTACTCAGATTGCACATAATTGAAGTAATGACTCATCCGTTAGAATGTCAAAAGAATAAGCAATTTCTCCTACTCAGAAATAACTGTTGTTGTTGTTGTTGTTGTTGTTGTTGTTGTTGTTGTTAGGTGTCCTCAAATTAGATCTGACTCATATCAGCCCAATGAACAGCAAACAAAACCACTGTCTGGTCCAATGCCAGCCCCACGGTTTTTGTCATGTTTCAGCCCATTGTTGCCACCACAGTGTCAACTCATCTCACTGTCTTTCTCTTGGTGGCTGACTCTCTACCAAGCACAATGCCCTTCTCCAGGTACTAGTCCCTTGTGACAACATGCCCAAAGTATGTGAGACAAAGTCTCAACTATCTTTGCTTCTAAGGAACATTCTGGATGTAACAGGGGGCTTTAAAAAGTTCCTGGAAATATTCTATTATCTTTTAATTCCATGAACTTTTTGAAGCCCCCTCATACTTCTTCCAAGACAGGTTTGTATTCAATGCCCTTTGCCAATACAATGCTTCAAAGGCATTAATTCTTTGCAGTCTTCCTTATTCATTGTTCAGTTTTCACATGCATATGAGGCAATGGAAAATATTATGGCTTGAATAAGGAGCAAGTCCTTAAGACGCCATCTTTGCTTTTTTTTTTTTTCATGTGATAGTTTACATGGGAGAACATTAGCTTTACATTCATCCTATCCTATACCATTTCATTGCCATGATTGCAATCCCTTCCATGCATCATCAAACAACCAAAGTGTATACCCTGCAAGCCTGCCCCCTGGTCATCAACACACAGCCCCTCTCCCTTTCTGAGTCCAGAGTCCCCAGCCACTCCATCTCTCCACATCATCGTCTCTGCCTCCATCTCTGGCATCACTGTTTCTCTGGGTAGGGTCCTGCTCTCCACTCTTCTCCCTTGATGGTTCCAGGGACCTCTGCTCCTGGGTCTGCAAAGTCAATCACTCCCCTCCTTTTGCTATAAAATGTCTACCTTTCCATTCCCAACTCTCACAATCAGTCCTGATAACAATGATTCACTATTGTACTTCATGAATCCTATCCCCATCTCCTTTCATCAGCCCTGACCAGACAGATTGAATACTACTCAGTGGAAATTTTACCTTCCTCTGCACCCTCTGGATCTAGGTTCCATCTTGAAAGCTTGTAAGCCAGTCACTTCTTCCCTTTGTAGTTCCCCCATTTTGGGCAGCCAATATCCAAGTTGCTCATCCCTATCTACCCTGTGTACCAAGGGGGTGGGAATGATCTTCGTTGTAAAGATCTGTTCTCTCATTTGAGCTATTGCTTCCATAGGTGTAGGTCAAGTTCATAAAATTATATCAGATTACTCTTTTTATCTTCTTCATTCTTCTTCTAGTTGAGTTCTGATCATCCAGTCATTGAAGCCAGGTCAAGTGGGTATTATCTGCAAGTGTGGGTGTTCTTGTGCATATGCCCTCTCTTCTTATCAGCTGAACGCTTCACTCTCCACTCTAGTCCTCTGTGGCTATGTCACTGTCTCTGGGCCCAGGAGTTCCCAGTTCTTGCCATACTGCTGGCCATCCAGGGTTCACAGGAGTCTTTAGAAGGTGGTAGGACTTAGCTCATAGCTTCATTGCTGTCCATCTTTGCTTTTTAACACTTAAATTTTTTTTTTTCACAGAATATTTGCCCAGTGTGATATGTTTGATTTCTTGACAACTACTTCCAGGTCTTCTTTTTTTTTTTTTTTTTTTTTTTTTTCCTATTTTACAATAGTAGACAAAGGAAACCAACATCCACAAGACAGTCAAGCGCCTTAACATTGTTTCCTCTCTTTTACCCAATCAGACTATGCCTCGATCCCTGTATCACAGGGCCCTGTTTTCCATGTGGATTTTACTTATGGATACAAGAAAAATTAAATGCTTGACAACTTTGATAACTCTCCAATATTCCAGTGCTTCACTCCATCCAGTTTACTGAAGGAAGAGCTTTTGTCATGAGAAGCAGCTAAGTATATCAGGACCCTATTTTTTGTGTGAACCTAAAAGTGCTATAAAAACAAAGTCTATTTGAAAAAAAGCCCCAAAATGGAGTCCCTCAGCACCCTAGGACCATCAAGGGAGAAGAGCATGAATGGAATGTAGGACCCTTTCCAGAGAAACAGCGATGACAGAGATGGAGGCAGAGATGAGGCCATAGAGAGAGAGAGAGAGCAGCTGAGGACTCTGGACTCATGGAAAGAGAAAGGCTGGGTGCTGGCAGCCAGGTACTGGTGGCCAAGAAGCAGACTTACAAAATGTGCCCTTTGGTTATTTAAATGATTATATGTTCTTGAGTGTTTTTGTGTACATTAAAAAAAAGAAAAAAACCTAGTAAAAAAGACTCAGGGAGGGAAAGGGGCTATGTGCTGATGGTCAGTAGGAAGGCTTGTGGGGTGTGCCCTTTGGTTGTTTGAATGGTTATATATTCCAGTGTGCTTCAGTGTACATCCAAAAAACAGAGGGAATGGAAGCAAATGCTATTGAACGATGATGCATGGAGGGGATTGTTATCATTGCAATGAAACAAAATATGATAGGATGAATGTAAAGCTGATGTTCTCTCATGTAAACTATCACTCAATTCACAATAAAAGCTAAAATATATATATGTATATATATATATATTCAAAGATGTAACTCTCTTCTATCTTTCTTCCATTGCATTGGTGTAGTAAGACAGAGAATGAGGGATGCCTTATGCTTTGGGGGAAGCCTTGCTTCTGGAAAGATGAGTGGGAACAAGGGATGTGATGGAGAAGCAAAGAATGAAAACCAGGATGGCTTCTACTGTTTGAGACAAACCTGGGAAAAGAGGGTCAAAGGAAATCTGGAGACTCTTCTCTAGTTCATCCCAGTGCAGTTCATCACCCAGGGAGTGGGCCAAATGTCTTACCTATTGCAAAGAGTGCTTGGAACACTTGGAACAGCCTTTAGTGCAGGTAGCAATTGCCAGGATTGAAATTCAAGCATTTGGCATCCTATTCCTGGCCTTCAGTCTTTCCCTCTCATGAAGACTAAATTAGTCTTTACTTCTAAATCGAAAAAAGATACTGAAGCAGACTCTTGACAAATAATTCAGCAAAATGCTTGTATTACATACAGTTAAGAAGGGGGTAGTTTTATGAGCACTGATCCTAACATAGAAAATGTTAGACTGGAAAACAGGAAAGACAACAATAAGGAATCCTTGCTGAGTACATCTTTGCTGGATGCCTGGTCAAGGTTGGGTCGCTGGCAGCTCTATGGACATCCTTATTGGTCATGTGAAAGCTGGCTGTCACAGACGTTTTGCAATTGCAGCCAAGTCCTTCTGCAGATAGGATTGGATGGAACGCTTACCGGGACGTTCAGCAGTGACTAACAATTTAGCAAAGAGACAGCAATCCACAGGCGTCTTGAACTCTGCTTGCTTCTCATCAGTAAAGTCAATGCTTGAGAGTGATAGTATAATTTTTAAGTATGTGATGGAATGGTTAGTTGGTATATTAAATGTAGTCTTAGAACATGAGCCAACTGTATACTACCTCACCCCTATGGGCAAATCCCATCATTTATCAGAGCTCCAGGGTGCAGGAATTTTTTCCTGATCTCTAAAGCTATCATATAAAACAAGGAAATCGAGTTCTTCCAGAAGGCAAAGTTATCTGGCCTAATTATTCCTTAGGAAACCAAAATGAAACACTTCAAATATTGTTCTTCTGGCAAGCTGCACATAGTCGTGGCATGCATTCTAACTCCTCATAAATAAGGGTTGTTTTTAAAGAAAGCCATAGCAGCTTATTACTCAGCTTCCTTTATTGGAGATGGGTTTCTATAGATCCATTTCACTTTCCCCCAATGCATTCTGACTTTCTCATAAATATATACAAATGGGTGATTCGTGGCTCTGTCTGTTTACATGAAATCTATCTAATTTTTCCCCAATAAGACATTTTCTTGGTAGATACTTCATAATTATTAATGGAATTAGTAAAATAATAAAAAAAAATCAGATGATTTTAGTAGTTCTTAGACTACTAACCCATTCACTCTCTATTATTTCAAAAGACTCTGGGAAAAGAACCCCCACTCATCTGTTACTTGGTCAAAGTGTGGTGTCTTATGTGTTGCTGAGCTGCTGGAAGACATGCAACCTAGATTTAAAACACCAACAGAGTTCCCCATGGTGGACAGCTTTGGCACAGGTGACAGATGAAGAGAGTCTATGAAGAAGTCAAGGCAGACCACTTCGGACAAGTAGAGTTGACCTACTGATGTGAATGGAACAAACTTTTGTGACCCTCATTTGCTGATGTAACACAACTTAAAATGGCAAACATCCACTAATAATCAGGATGTGGAATGTACACAAAGTATAATTTTGGAAGTTGTCAAAAAAAGAGACTAAAACATATAAAGATTAATATCCTAGACATTATTGTTAAGTGTTGTTGAGTCCGTTCTGACTCATAGTGACTCTGTACTGGATTTCCAAGAGGCAGCTGGTGGATATGAACTGCCAAACTTGTAGTCAAACTGAGCTCGTAATCCAGTCCCTATCCTAAACCACCACACCCTAGGCATTAGTGAGCTGAAATAGACTGGAATTGGTATTGGCCATATTGAATCAGACAATTATGTTGCTTCCTATGATCGGAATTACAAATTGAAGAGGAATGACTTTACATTCATTGTCAAAAAGAGTGTTTAAAAATCTATCTTTCAGTACAAAGATGTCTGTAATAATATATCCATATGCCTACAAGGAAGACCAGTTAACACCACTATCATTCAAATATATGCACCAACCACTAAAGCCAGTGATGATGAAATTTAAGAACTCTATGAACTTCTTCAGTCAGAAATTGATCAAACATGCAATTAATATGCATTGATAATTGCTGGTGATTGGAATGTGAAAGTTGGAAAAAAGGAGGAAGGGTCAGTCGTTGGAAAACATGGCCTTGGTGATAGAAAAGATGCTGGAGATCACGTCAGTGAATTCTGCCAATACCAATGACATTCATTGCAAATACCTTTTTCAACAACATAAAAGGCAACTATACACATGGATCTTACCAGATGAAATAAACCAGAATCAAATTGTGAGAAGAGACCATGGAGAAGTTCAATATCATCAGCGAAACTAAGGCCAGGGGCAGTCTGTGGAACATACTACCAATTGTTCATATGTAAGTTCAGGCTTAAGCTGAAGAAAATTAAAATACATTGACAAGAGCTATCATATGACCTTGAGTATATCTCACCTGAATTTAGAGACCATCTCGAAAACAGATTGGACACATTACACACTAATGACCAAAAGCCAGTGTTGTTGTGGGATGACATCAACAGCATCATACATGAAGAAAGTAAAAGATCATTTGAAAGACAGGAAAGAAAGAAAAGACCAAAATCAACATCAAAAAAGACTCTAAAACCTGCTCTTGAGAAAACAGAAGCAAAAGCTACTGGAAGAAATGAAGAAGTAAAACAGCGGAAAGAAAATTACCAAGTAAAGTATGTATAATATACCATGGACTGTCAGAAGAGCAAACAGATCTGTCTTTGAAGAAGTACAGCCAGAATGCTTCTTAGAAGCAAGCATGGTGACTTTATCTCTCATACTTTGGACATGTTGTCTGGAGGGACCAGTCCCTGGAGAAGAACATGAGGCTGGACAAAGTGGAGAGTCAACAAAGATGAAGAAGTCCTCCAACAAGATGGACAGACACAGTGGCAGTAACAACAGGCTCAAACACAACGATTGTGAGGACGATGCAGGACTGGACTGTGTTTTGTTCTGCTGTGTATTGGGTCGCTATGAGTCAGAACCATGTCAATGACACTTGACAATAAGGGAAAGAGGGGAGCAGAAAAGGGACTAGGTTAGCCAAGCATGCCCATGGACACTGCCTTATCTATTCCTACTACCCAGTGTGAGTTGAATTAAACTCCAGTTTTACAGAGGAGACAAGTGAGGTTTGAACAGGTTAAATGCTTGTGTTACCTGGCTCATACAAATGAAATCAGAGTCACGCCCAGGACTTTCTGGTTCTAAACCCATGTTGTGTCTTTTTCAGTTTTGCATCTAAGTATTTTTCACTTTTATTCTACATAAGGAGTCCTGGGGTGTGGCACTGTAGGATAAAGCACTGGACTGCAAGGTCATTTGATCCACAAGGTTGGCAGATCAAACTCACCATCCACTCCTTGGAAACCTTATGCAAGATTGCAGTGAGTCAGAACTGACATGATGGCACTTAACAACAACAACATTCTACCTGAAGGGGATAAAGAACTGAGAAATGCAAGTCTGTGTTCTTTATTTATAAGGAGGTATAGAAACTAGATTTTTAATTTAAAATGTTTCTATATGGAGAAAAGAATTAACATGAATTGGGATCTTAGGAACTCAGTCCTCATCACTTCGTATGCATATGAATTCTATCAAGCTTCTCACTCATCTAAGCTTTTTCTTTTTTTAAGCATAAACTGGTAGGTATAAACATGGGATTCTTGTGCTATTAACTTATGTGCAATGTGGTATCTAGCTGCTTTCTGGGGTATTCTGTTGAGTATGGCCATGAGGTAAAGGGTGTTGTTGTTTGTGAGAAGCTTCAAGGACACTTCAAGGAGATTTGTGACTCAGAGTAATTAAGTGACATCGAGTAGATTCCAAATCATAGTGACCCTGTATAGGGTTTCCAAGGAGCAGCGGGTGAGTTTGAACCACCAACCTTGCAGTTCAAACCAGCCATGTGGTCCAGTGCTTATCCACATGGAACATTGTTGTTGTTGTTGTGAAGTGCTTTCACGTTGATTTCAACTCATAATGACTCTGTATAGGGCTTCCAAGGAGCAGCTGGTGAATTTGAACTGCCAACCTTGCGGTTCAAAAGGACCTTGCAGTCCAGTGTATCATCACACATCACGACACCAGGACTCCACATTGAATATGGTGGTGGTTAGATACCGTGGAGTCAGTTCTGACTCATAGCGACCCTGTACAGTGTTTCTGAGGCTGGAAATCTTTACGGGAGCAGAAAGCCTCATCTTTCTCCCATGGGACAGCTGGTAGTTTTGAACTGCTGACCTTGAGGTTCGCAGCCCGATTCATAACCACTACTCTACCAGAGTTCCTTACATTGAATATGATGAGGCCTGAATAGTCTGCCCTTCTCCTGTTGTCGAATCTTTTCCACCTCAATCTATGTACTGTTAGAGAGGTCAACAGTGCACAGAGTCCCTGAGGGTACAACCAGTTCTCCCACCTCAACTACTAAATGATAAGGTGGAGATTCAAGTTCCCCCAAAGGCATTTCAGAAGAATGTCCTGGTGATTAACTTCATAAGAACCTACCATTCAAAGCTATGGGGCAAAGTTCTACTCTAACATACATGGGATCTCCATGAGTCAGAATGAACTTGATTACAATTGGTGGTAAAGAAGGCTATATCTGACCTCCAAAGGGGGGAAAATTGTTAAGAACAGGCTTAATTAAGAGGTCTACATAGTTGAGGAGGAGATGGATAAATGGCTTCTCATCTCCATAGCTCTGGATCCTGAGTCTCCACATAGTATATTTATCTGGGTGAGTCCACACATGCACTATACCCATACCTTCCATCCAAAAGACCCCAAAATTATTCCAGACCTCCCACTCAGCTTTGAAAACCATTCCAAAGAGCAACAATGAAGTTACTTACCACTGGAAGCAAATACACGCAGAATCCAGAGACAATGGAGAAGGTTCTGACTGTGGAACAGATTTTTCCTGGCCAGAATTAGCATCACATCCAGTGCCTCCAATTCCAGTGCCTTCTGTCCAAACTTTTTATCTACGAATACAAAGCAACAGTCAGTTTCATTTTTCATTGATGCTGAATGTTGTACCCTGCATAGGGTAGAGGAAGAGAAAACTTGGAGGAGGATACACATAGTCAGGAGTCCTGGCGTGGCGCTGTGGGTTAATGCGCCAGACTGCAAAGCCGTTTGAACTGCAAGGTCAGTGGTTCAAGCTCACCAGCTGCTCCTTGGAAACCCTATACAGGGTAGCTACGGGTCAGAACTGAGTCGATGGCACTTAACAACAAAGAATTTTATCCTGTAATCTGCTTGACCTTCCCACCACTTGGATCTCTGTTCC